TTATCTTATTTAAAACAAGTAGTTCCTTTTTAAAAGTAGATTCCATAGCTTTGGCTTACAGTTTGAAGGTTCCAGATGAAATCAAGTGGATCTCTTTCTTTGAGGGCTGTGGTAGAGGTGCTGAGTGTCAGTCTTAGGGATTTGTGGCAGAGAAAGCTGTGCAAATCATAGCCAGGAAGCACCTGGGTATTCATAAGCCCCGACAGGAGAATGGTTTCCTTCAGTTAAGGTTGTTATGCCCCATCTCTTAGAGCTTCTACTGTCTCCCAATTGAACCCTCCTGGGTGCTAAGATTTTAATACATAGGCCTTTGGGGGATAGGCAGCATCCAAACCACAGCAGGTGCACAATGGGGGATGAAGGGCTGGGAATTGCTGATGATGGAAGAGAGAAGTGCTCAGAAAAGTTCTTTCTGAGCAGGTAATGTTTGCCCAGGGCTACAGGCTAAGTGCTTTTATGGGAATTTCTCATTTATTTTTCTCTACTCTACAAATGAGGAAATGTAGCAGGAATCTTAAAAGTACTTATTAATAAAATCAAACCCGAGGCCAGTTATCGGGGTCAATGCTGGTAGATCAAAGAGACAGAACAAGCCACAGCTATCTCACCTTGCCAGTTCCTCAGCTGGTCCTGTTTCCTCAGACTGGAAGCTTCTGTGTCCTCATCCCAATGGCTCTCATCTGAACTTCTGCTGGAAAGCCTGAAGCTTAACCAGCCACATGCTTAACCAGCCAAATGCTTAACCAGCCAAATGCTTCTAGTTTCTGGTCCTCAAGCCTTATATACCTTTCTGCTTTCTACCATCACTCCCTAGGATTAAAGGCTTGCTTCCTGGGATTAAAGGCGTGTGTCACCATGCTTGGCTATTTCCAATGTGGCCTTGAACTCACAGAGATCCAGAGGGATTTCTATCTCTGGAATGCTAGGATTAAAGGTGTGAGTGGCCACCATTTTCTAGCCTTTGTATCTAGTGGCTGTCTGTTCTCTGGCCCCAGATAAATTTATTAGAGTACACAATATTTTGGGGAACACAATACCACCACAAGGAAATGGCAAGGAAGAGAGCTGTAGATCTTAAGGATATTGTGAAGGCTGAGCTCATGTCTAGGTTGCCTACCTGTAGAATCTCTGCTCTTGACCATTCCTCATACCATCTGTATGCACATGGCTGTGACATGTTATTTTCAACCTCCCTTCTGCCTCCTCTGGATCACACCTCCCCAACATCAGCTTTAGTGAAAAAAGTAAATGGTGTTGGTTCATCATCATCTTTATTGCAACTTAAGAGTCCAGGGAATATTAGATAAATAGATGATAGATGATTGATAGATACATACATACATAGATACATAGATGACATAGATAGATAGATTATATGATAGATGATATATAGATAGATAGATAGATAGATAGATAGATAGATAGATAGATAGATAGATAGATAGATAGATAGATGGATGGATGGATATTCATAGACAAATACTGCATGCCAAGAACAAAGGTGGTTTCCACAAAACAGCTAAGAGGAGAGTTGTTTTTAATTTTACAGCATCTTTTCTGATGGAATTTTTACCACGTACTTCAATTGTCAATTCTAAAAATGTAAATTTTTCAAAACTATTTTTTTTTTAATTTTCTAACTCTCAGATGTGAGAATGTACTCTCTAAATTGAAAGACAGTAACTGAAGAAAATAGGTAGGTAGGAGGAAGAAATAGAGGAGAGATTGTGGGTTGGAAGCTTTGCTGTGGGAAACAATGGTGAACCAGTGTGTGGAGCCCACAGAGGCTCCCTAGTGAGACCCCACTCAGGGTCAGAGCATCTGAGCTTGCTTTACCCAGCAGGGCTGCATAATGGGGTGATTTGGCCACGGGCGTGGTTACCAGGTGTTTTGAAGGATCTACAATTGGCTGTACATGGTGCTCTGATCTTGAAAGGGGGAGGTCTTTTGCCTCTCCCCTGGGCAATGGATAAAAATCCCTTTGTAATAAACCTCGAGGAGGCTGGGTATTGACCCAGGGCCCTCCAGAGGCTATCCTGTGTCTCTGTCTTTCTTATCTTTCTATCTAATACTTCCTCATTCCTCTCTCCTCTCCCCGAGAACCCTTCAAAAGGTCAGAGCTGGACTCCGACAGACTCCCACACCAATGCTCTGTTCATGAGGTCTTTCTCTGAAATTGGGGTGTCACTAAAGGGCCAACAAAAGGACAGAATCAACAGGTCCGTATTCTGTAAAGGTAAAATATGTCCCTTCCCTCCCTTGTCATGGAACTCCTTACCCTTGTCCCCTTATTTATGTCACAGCAACAGAATTTGCTGGTGTGGGTTGGCACATGATGTTGTGAGAGCCCAAGTTACATTTTAAGTTGTTGGGTTTTTTTTTGTTTTGTTTTGTTTTGTTTTTTTGTTTGTTTTTTTACTATGCCATAGAGATCCATGAAACAAAACTGTCTCTGATCTGCAATTCCCTTGCCCGAGGACAGATAGTTCCTGAAATCCTGGAGGCTATGGTTTATGGGAGATAACACACCACATGTTTTCACTCCCCTAAATAAGTTTGTTTTGTGAAGGCCTAGACTTGACTTTACAGGCTCGATCTTAGGGAAAGGGCCACCATCTCAGACCACCTGCTGTACTCAGTTCCAGGAAGGACCTCAGGAATGTGCCATGACAACTGGAACAGATACAGGGCAGGTATCCTCCTGCAGATGTCCTGTCTGCGGTTCATGGCCCTTGAAGATATCTAGATGATCCTGCTGAGCAGTCCAGATAATCCTGTTCAGTAGGTTGTGGTTCCCCGCAAAAAGTCAAACCCAGTGGTTTCCAATGTGGTTTCACACCCAAAATCAAGATCAATAGTTTCAAAAACTCACCTTGCCCCATATTCCTTCTACCTAATCCCCAGGTTGCCAATTCCCAGCTTGTGGTTTTTTCCTATAAAAACTCTCTACACCTGGGCTTGTGGCTGCTGCCACATTTCCTTCCATCTGCCCTGTGGTGGCCCAGGTTGAACCTGAATAAAAGGACCCTTATGTTCTTGCATTGGAAAACGGCTCCCTGGTGGTCTCTGAGGGTTTTGTGAAACAGGTACAACAGTTTGACCCATCTGCACCAGATGTGATTGATCACATGTGGGTGAGAGGTTCACAGGTAGGAAATACCTCAGGATGTATGCTTGTCCCTGATTGGACATGACAGGAAATACTTAAGCCGCTGCAATTGTGATTCACGGCCATTTGTGTGTGTGTGGGGGGGGAACCAGAGATAGACCTAGCCAGA